CTCTCAAGGCAGAGGGCAAAAAGACAAAAAACACAGTCAGAAATGAAAAACAAGCAGAAAAAAAATCTTTCGGTGGTCTATCAGTGGACCTGCCAAATTCACAGAATGTTTTTCTAAGCAGCAGGAGGCTCTGCGAGGTGATCTGCTCCACAGGTGAAGCTGGTCTAGGGGCAGTTTGGTACCAGGGAGCTCGGAGGCTGTGCCAAGGGACCCGAGTCCCACACGGTGCGTCTCTCTCCCAGCTACTGCTGGGGAACAGTCAATATACAAGTCTCACAAGCAAAGACTTCAGAAACATCCAAGCAAGCAAGGGCGGGAAAAAAAAAAGAGGCAAACAAAACAAAACAAAAACCCCCCAAAACTTCTATTCTCATTAGTTCGCAAAATTAGGGTAACATGTAGCAAAACCTTAGGGTGTTTGGACAATGCAGTTACATAAGCTGTTTACAACTGCAGATTATTTTTAGTTTCAGGGCTGAATTCATGACTTAAACACAACCAGAAATGAACCTTTTATAACTCTCTTGCTTTCTTCAACAGGAAAATCATGGGAAATGTTTCTGTTTTCTTTTATTTTCTAACATTTGTACAAGATTTTACTTAAAACTGCTTTTTCGTTGTTGCTGTGCTCTTTAAGTTCAAATTCTGTGATGCCTTCAACTAAATATTGCTGCATCTAGCTAGTATAAGCTGGTAAACAAGTGGAACTGATTAGCCTATCTTCTTTATCCAGTTGAAGGAAATATAAAATGCAACATGAAATATAAACCATGAATAACTAATACTATTGAAATAGATGCAATTAAATATTTTGTTCATATTATTTGATAGGTCAATAAAACCACAGGTTTCTTTAAAACGTACATTCAAAATTTTCCCTTTTTAATAAGCAATATGACACTCACCTTTTCATGCCACAGAAGAATGGCAATACTAGCTGGGCTAGATGAGAAGACCATCCCCAATAAATGAGGGGCGAGTGGAGGAACAAGGCAGGCAAGCAGGAGTACTTCCCACAGCACTTCTGCGGGGCTGCCAGCAATCCTGTCTTATGGATTTTTTTGAGACAGAGTTTCTCTCTGCTTCATTTGGCCTCTTTGCATTTAATAGCAACACTGCTTTTCCTTGTATTTCAAATCTTCTGTAATTGGCCTAAATATTCATTCAAGGGTTTTGACCAAACTTAAAAGCTCTACACATTCCTGTAATGCCTCCTATATGGAGAGGGGAGGAATTCCATTTAGCCTGAAACACAGAATCACTTTTGACTTACCAGGCGGGAATGAACTCAGCACTAGACTCACTAAAATGCCTGGATCACTAATAAAATGGCATCTGTGTGTTTAATCTTTGTCCTTGTACCTGTCCTCCATTACCTACATATGTGGAAGAGCCAAAAAGAAAAGGGTTTTGACTTTAGCAGGATCACATTCTTCTTACTGATTCTATCCAACTCGACTTTCCAGAGCCAGCATTAACACAATGAGATCTTCCATACGCACTTATTAACGTTATAGTTTACAAAGGGAGAAAAATTTTAGTATGTCAGTAGTATTTTTGATAGTCCCAAAGTGAAGTGAAAAAGGCTACCTTACCTGAGACTGTGCATTGACATTGGCCCGATTTGTAACCAATACTTTGACTACTTCTGCTTGCCCAGCGAGGGATGCTATGTGCAATGCTGTGTTTCCTTTCTGAAATGAGAGATGGTGATATTTGAAAAGATTACCAAGCTTAAATATCTCACAATACTGTCAAAAGCACGGTCTACTTGAAAACACAGTATTTCTTGACACAAAGTACGTCTAGTGGGTAGTAATTCTGGAGGACACAGGCAGAAAACATGACAGGAATCTACAATTGTTGAATAAATCTCATCATTAGTAGCCTGTGACATTTGCTATAATCTAAGAGGTTCCTAGTATACAATTCCTGAGGCCACAGCAAGAGCAGAGAACACCCGGTCACTGCTGCTATCAGTTGGCCGACACCTCGTGGGGTGTGGAGGGGATGGATGTGGAGGGGAGAACAGTCGGGCAGGCCCGGCTGACCTTTGTCGCTGCGTCCACATTGGCACCTCGCTGTATCAGTTCAGAGACGACTTCCACGTGCCCCTCTTTGGAAGCAAGATGGAGAGCGTTCAACCCATTCTGATTTTTTAAAAAAGAAGGAAACAAACAAAAAAAAGAAGTGTCACGGAAAAGACTGGCACAGGTTTTTCCAGTGTAGCAAACAACACATCATAAAGAGTTACATTCCAATTAGATGACTTCTTTCAAAAAATATTCCTAAGTCATCTTCAGAACTACTGAATTATACTGGAAAAAAGTATTAATTAAACCAGGATATAGCAGCTGGAGCATCTTAAGCTCTATGTGCTTATCCTAGGCCCCGATGTTATATAAACAGAATGAAAGATAATACTAAATAACACAATGTTCTCCAAGTAAAAGTGGAATGATGTCTTGGTAAGCGATAAAATACAAGTTTTAAGTGGCAAAGATATGTAAACTAGGTTTAAAAAAATATAAACTTAAGCATATAGACTTAGCATACAGTAAATATATAGACAGATTTGGAAAAGACAGAGAGAAGCATTTACACAGTAAATTTGATCAAAATATTACTTAACCTGATTGCAAATGTTGATGTCCACTCCACTTTTTAAGTAGTCAAGAGCCTTTTCCAAGTTGCCAGCTCGAGCAGCTCTCAAGTAACTTGCATTTGTGTCAGACTAGAAGAAAAAGAAGAAAAATCCCATTAGAAATTAAATCACTGTACAGAAACACATACCCTTGGCAAAGAAGTTACTAATGATACAACGTATTGTACATGTGCTTTCCTAGACACGAAAGGATCCCAAACTGCCTTACGAGATATGGGGGACTTGGGCCCTCCCCGCCTATGCAGACTCCCTGTGGTACAAACAGGGCTGTCTGCCTGACGAGGCAGCACAAGATGTGATTTGAGACGTAAGTGTGAATTCTGCAGCCCTGTCTACCACGCAGGGCTAGTAGCCAGGGAAACATCTGGTACCCAGCGTGCAAGACAAGGCAGCAACGTGGCGGCTCACGGAAGGGCTCCATGGAAACCGCTCCGCTCTTTCAGAAGTGCCACCTCATCTTCGACGGCCAGGCGGAACGCACCAGACAAGTAGTGTAAAATCTCACATGACAGATTTTAAAAACCAAAATATACAGTGCTGAAAGAGCAGACTACCTACATTAAAAACATGGCTCTGCGAATATACAGTGCTGAAAGAGCAGACTACATTAAAAACATGGCTCTGCAGAGTTGAGGCATTGAACGGCCTAATGACTCCATTATGTTTAATTTCCTCCACCCTCCCTCAATTTATGGTGCATTTTATTTACAGTATTTGTCTACATTTCATCAAAGAATCGAAAATCCCTAGAAACAGTGCCACTGCCTTTATCGCATTTTTTTCCAGACCTTGCTTTAATGATTACAAGTGATTAAAGATGGCAAGCTTGCTGTGTGAGGACTGTAACTTGAACGCAAGGATGGCGGAAAGGACTGTTAAGCATGAAAGAGATCACTGAAAGTAATTCCCATGCCCGGAGGGTTTAACGACAGGTTATGCAAATATCCACCAAGGACGGTTTAGATAATGCTGATCCTGCCTGGAGCAAGTGGAATGAACGGGGTTCGCTTTCAAGAGGGACACATCACCCAGCCTTTTTTTTTATGTGCTCCCGGGCTGCCTCTGATAATGGCAGTCACCACATCTTACTGTCTCCTCCTCCCCACTGGCATAACAAAAATTGTCCTGGATTTTCTATGTATCATTTCATCACAGGATTAAATCACAGTTTTAAGTGCTTTAAGATGCTTTAGCATTCAAAAAAAGCACAACAAAATGGTGTGCTTTTTAGCACCCATCTACCTTCATGTTGCACCTTGTGACAGCACCTGCCCAGCATAAAACCTTCCCAGCTCTTAGTCTCTGTTTTCCGAGCCTGTCATGCTGCTCATTACTAGCCAGCTTCCCCAGCGCATTTCCAACAAAACAGCCCCAAAACACTACTGCTTAATTAGGCTCTATCAAAAAACGAGGTGCTGCTACAAACAACGTGGCCGGAGCTGTGGGGGGAAACAGCCGCCGCAGGAGACGCGGGGAAGTGGCTTCCCATGGAAGATGGGCTGACCCGCGTTCTGCAGATGATTACAGTATAGGTCATTTCTCAGTGCCGAGCAACAGCCGCCTCTGGGCTAAAAAACAGGCCAGCGTTTTACTGGTGCTGCCAAAAGGACGAGGGAGGACGTAAGGGTCTGGGAGATGTTCACGGCCTGGCAGTGGCGGGCACAGTCAGTGGGTGGACATGGCTCATCCTGGCTGTTTGCAGCGTGTCTGGGTGGGTAGGGAGGCACCACGGGGTCTCTGTGCAGTCACCCCCCAGCCACGCGTGTTCCTTCACACCAGGCAAGAAACTCCGCTGCTACCAGGTGCATCTGAACCTCGCTGTTTGCTCAAGCAAACTGGAGCACGCAAACAGGCGAAGGAGGAGCGACAAAGAGCCGGTATTCACTGTTACACCCCGCTCGCTTTCCCAAAGCCGGTGCGAAGGCCCGGTGGTGGCAGCCTGGCTGCCCGCAGCAGGGGCATGGCCGGGGCCTGTGCCACGCTGCTCCCGGGTGCGTGGCGCTTGCCAGGCCATGCCGGGGGGCACAGGCATGCAGGAGACCCCCAGCTGCCACTGGGCCCGGAGGCTCTGCGGGGAGCGGGAAGGCGGGAGGCCCCTTGGAGAGCGGCTCCGTCCCGCCTCAGGGACGCCACACGGCAGCCTCCCCTCTCCCTGCTGCCGAAGCGCCATGTCACACACGTGAGAGCTCACAGGCTTTTTCTGTCTCAGAATGACCTGAATACCTTCCTTTGGAGGCCGTTTCCCCAGAACAGAACAACCAGGAGACCTTCATACAAATCTCACAACAGCTAAGCACAGGGGTCTGACAACTCCTTTCTGAACTAAAACCAACGCACACGTACGCAGTTTTGATGAGAAAGCCCACACTGCTTGGTGCCTTTGCCATCAGAGGACGGGGCTCCAGAGCAAGTGCCTGACGACGACAGAGGATTTTTGCATCCAGAATCTCAGGCAGCAATCACTTCCCATGCGAATAAGGATGAAAAATCAGAAGATAAAATTCCTTTTAAGTCTGGGTTTCCCTACGGTGCTCTCCTATGTGCTGTGTTTTGCCCCTCGAGTGCCAAACCGCTGTAGGGCAGTTTTTACTCCCTCTTCATGGCAAATCTGAGGGCTTTCTAGGTGGTACAGGCTGGTACCTGTAGACAGGAGACACGTTTCACAGGTCACAGTCACTTCCCAGTAACACATTCCTTTACTATTTCAAGCGAAACGTAGCAAGCCCCCCTAGACGGAGCCACCCTCAGAGGGCATTTCAAAAGACAACACGTGAGCTGCAGTTGCTGTAACGGAGCACTGCCAATTACAGCCCAACAGAAATCTTCCTGCTCGTTTTTTTTTTCAATTAGAAAAGCATTTTTACACAAAATCTACATCTAATTATACGTTAAAAGCAATGTTTTTATTTTGCACTAGGGCAAGAAATCCACATCCTACCATTTTCTGGGGCATCCTGAACTATTTGCTTCTGCCAATCACTACTGCACTACTGCATCACACGCAGCACCGTGCCTGTGCAGGGCCATTGCGTGCAGGCCGGGTGCTGCGTGTCCCTGCTCTGCCTCTGCACACAACGCTTTTAAAAAACTCATTCTAAATAATTCCATATTTTTCCAGTTGTATTTGAAGCCTAAATTCAATACATATAATTTTTTTTAATACGAAAAAGGAGTGGAAAAATGTAATTTCTGATCCACATCATGGGGTTTAAGACAGCCTGTTGGCATCCACGGGATAGCCTGCAGTTGTCTCCGTGCTGCACGGAGGGATACAGCTTCTAAGAGCCGGGGCTTGAACCACTGACGGATTTAAAAGATCAAACAAGCATGACAATAACATTAATTATTTATCTGCACTGCCATCATGCTTACGAGCCCGTGTCAAAGACAGATCAAGGCACTGTTCTGTTAAAGTCATTAAAAGACACACTAGGGAAAAAATAGACTTTAGATGGAAATTCCCAGTAGAGCTCGCAGCACACCCGTGCAGGTGACTGCTCCCACAGTGGGTATCTATTCTTAACATACACATTTCTACAATAGCTGGCATCTGAAAGCTAACTGAAAGCCATGCCCAAAAAGACAGCATGTTCACAGGACATTTCCTTAACAGAGTAGGTTGTTTTGTTTTGCTTTTTGAAAAAGCCACTTCGAGCTTTATTATCTAAACCTCAATACTCCCGAGAGGCATTCTGCATGCTAGCAACCTCTGCAGATCTGGTTTGTTTTTGTGTTTTTTCAAAGATGGAAATTGGCTTTTGATTTTCCACTGCCTTGACAAATATCAAGAGAACAAGAGGCTTGGGACATACATCAAAACACCCTCCATCTTAGATGTTACTGCAGCCCTTGTTGCTGTGGGCTTGCCCTGGACCCTGCTTTCAGGCTGCGTCCCCTACGCTGTACACGCGTTCCCTGGGGATGCTACCTTGTGAACCTCCGTAATCACACTCAAATCACAAAGAAAACTCTTACCAGGGTTTATTTTAATTCTGGGAGAGACAGACCTCAGCTCGTGTGCACAGGGTTTAGCTCTGGAATGCCTATTCAGACAACATTGCATAAACATGGGATTTATGAGCATACTAGCACTGATGTATGCATAATAACAAGCTTTTCCTACACAGATGGCAAGACTTTTTGTTGCTTTATTCCACTGCATTTTCTGAAAAGGAGAATATTGATAGTTTTAAGAAATGTATAAATGCTAAGGACTGGCTAATGCACGCAGTTTTTAATTTTTTTTTTAATTCCTCTTCTGTATAGTCTGCTATACGATTAAACTGGGGCGAAAAGCGCGCCGAGCAGGTCTCCAGCATGGGCTGCCCACAGCCCTCTCCAGGTCATCCAGCCTGGCGCTCATTTTAGCAGCCTCCACGGCAGGGTACCCCGCTCCCCAGCGCTTCTCCAGCGCGGGCGCCTCCTGGCCCCAGGGATGGCACGGCCCGCAACGCGCAGGGTAAGGCCCGCACATCACATCGGGAGGAGAAGCCACGACAGTTAAAACGTGCTTTTTTATAAAAAAGACTAGCTTCTAAGTCACTTGCATATTACCTTAAGCTTCCATTTTAAAAACAAGAAAAAGCTGATGCTGACTCACACTAGCAAATGCATATTCAGGACCTTTTCCTCCAAGCGCTCCAAGTGAACTACAAGACTATTTAGTATGAGTAAAGGCAGAAAAATATTAGCAAATGTTGCAGTGTCTGTCAGCTCAAGCGCTAGCCTGGCTTTCCCATGGGACTAGAGAGGAGCCTTCCAGAAAACCGAGAACATATTTATCATTTACTGAGCCCTCAAAGTGCAAAGCCATTATCTGCCACGTGCGCAGGCGCCCTCCCGTACCGACACTATGCTCATTATACTCCTCTCCCTTCCTTTGTGTTCTGCTTACAGTGGTTTCTTTTTCAGTTAAAAATCCAGTCTTTTTTTCACGGCGAGAGCAGGGTTTTGTTTTTCGCTCCATCTTTAACAGTAGCTGTTGTGAAGGGAAACCCCCAGCAGGTTCCCATTGTGCCGGAGCAGGACGCGTCCTGGCTTGAGTCCCAGTGGAGAGATGCTAACCGTGC